AATTCTAGCATGGAAATTCTTAAAGACATCAAGCACCTGATCTTTGGATTTTAAACATGTGGCCTAAATTTTCTTGAAGTGATATTTTAAACATGTGGCCTAAATTTTCTTGAAGTTAATCAATAAAACTAACAAAGTACAATGCACCCCTAAGAGAGTTATCAATCATAGAGAAAACATCAGTGTAAACTAAATCAAGAACATGTGATCTTTTATATAAAAGTGATCTTTGAAACCCAACTCTGTATTGTTTACCAACTAAACAATGAGTACATGTGTTCAAGTTTATACCTTTTAATGGAAGGTAGTTCTTCTTGGCAAGGATGTTAAGGCCTTTCTCACTTAAATATCCAGGTCATTTATGTCATAAATCAGTGGAGTAATCTTCAATTGCATTCACTTTCCCTTTGATCACTTTGGCTTGTGACATGTAAAGACCCATCTTCTTCCCTGTAATAACAATTAAGGAATTTTTGGAGAGCTTCCATTTACCATCTTCAAAGTAATTGTGATAGCTTTCTTCATTAAAAATACCTATAGAGATCAAGTGTGGGTGCATATCAGGCACATGCCTAACATCTTTGAGTAATAACTTGCACCCAATATTGGTTTCCAACCAAATGTCTCCATTACCTACAACATTAACCATCCCTTGATTTCCCATCCTAACTTAACCAAAGTCACCAGTAATGTAATATGTGTAAAAATCATATCAAGGTGTAATATGGTAAGAAGTTGTTGAATCTGTAACCTAGATGGTATCTTAACATGTAAGATTAACACAACCATCATCATAAACAATGGCAACATCACCATCAAATACAACTATAGCTATACCATTCTCTTCATTCTTGTCTTCATTTTTACCCTTTTTATCTTTTTTATACTTTCTACAATTTTTTTGAATATGCCTAGGCTCATCATAGTAATAACACTTAATTATCTTCCTTAACTGAGATCTTTCTCTTGGCTTCCATTTGCTTTTTCTATTGTTGGATTCTCTATCTTGCTTATTGTGAAATAACCTACTCTAACTTCTCCCTCGACTTTCTGTAACAAGTGCATGAGACTCAGAAGTGTTTGTTCCTTTCCTCCTCTTCTCTTCATTAAGGATACTATCCTTCACTATTTTCAAAGTGATCTTTCCATTCAGAGTTGAATTCCCAACTATCCGACAATGAACTCAATAAGATTAGTACTTGCATCTCATCGGTTAACTCAAGATTCATCAATGATAGTTGATTCAATAACCCTTGGAATTTATTTATATGCACTGAAGCATCTTCACCATCTCTATACTTCAAATTCACAAGGTCTCTAATTATAAAAATATTATTTTGTGCACTCTTTTTGGCAAAGGTTTCTTCCAACATCTACCAAACTATATAGCAGTTATATTCTTGAAAAATATGATTAATGGACTTAAAAGATACCTATTTTCTAACATAAGCAGTCGCCTTTCTATTAAGCCCATTCTATTTTACCCCATCCATCTCATCAAGCTTTTTTCCTTTACACTCAAGTGGCAAAGCCAAATCATTGCAATATAAGTGATTCATTATCATTTTTTTCATAGAAAATAATTAGAGGAATTGAACTTTATCATGCCTGAATCTTCCTTTTTTCATTTTAACTGCACGAGAAATTCAATCTACACAATCAGTGCTCTAATACCACTTTGTTGGGAAAACTATAAACAAATAACCAGACACCAATCTACCCGGATCAATTCATAATTCACAAGTTTCAATTCTTTTCCCTCTTCATACAATCAAAATCAGGATCAAACAATCAACAAATATAAATCAATAATCACACAAATCAACACGAAGATTTTTAAGTGAAAAACCCGATACGGGAAAAATCACGGGATCGTCGTCCACTTAAAAACTTCCATTATCAATAAATAATAGATTCACAACTGTTTTTTCTTAAATTCAATAAAGAACTACAATATATATATCATCAAAAACAAACTATTCTTGGAATATAACAAGATTAAAAAAAGAAATGTTTGAGAAAAGCTTATAAGATGAATCTGGCATTCCACATTCTTACCCCTGTGATATCTTGTGCCTTCCATGCTGTCTGTTTAAATGAATTGGGAAGGGTGAGCCAAAACTGTAAGGTTCAGGCCTCAGGGCCCGTTAGGGCTTGCATGTGTAATGATAAATTTTAAATGTTCTACAGTTCCATCAAGCATATTCTTAATAGCGCTGTTACTGAGGATAGCAGACTCTGGTCAGCAAGTGCAGAATGATAATTTTCGAGTTAAATGATATATTTCCAAGAAGTGGAGAAAAGTCTTTAATTTTACGATAGCTTTCATGCCCGAGGAAAAAGATGGAAGGAGAAGGGGAAAGGATAAGAAAATGATGAGTGGTATCCATTACTGCCATTCCATACTGCGCATAGAAAACAGACAAATATCAAGAAACTAATTTTGGATTACTTTGTCATCATGATGTTAGAAAGTTAATACGCATTTACTCGGAGGGGGTCAAACATGATGTTGAAAACAACAGCCTATGTTTTTCTAGTTGTCTTATGGATACATAAGATGTACAAATGTATCTAATCACAGCTGGAAATGGTAAGAACGGACACTGTTACATGAGTTTTGACATTTTCAGACTGTAACTACTGTATCTGGATTCTGTCAAGCAAGAGAAGCTTGTGCTTATTTCAATTAATCCTTGGTTTCCTTAAATTGATTATACAAAGATGATGCGCAAGAAGTTCACGGAAAAAACCGAAAAAAATGAATATAGCTTGGATCTATTTCAACCAAGAAGGTATCAAAAGACAACTAGCTGAAAAAATTGCAGTGCTTTCTCTTTAAAAACGAAAAGGAAAGAAAACGATGCAAGATGATTTGACGGACTTTCAAGAGGATATCCCAACCAGGAAATGCTTCTGCGTTGCTTGTACAAATACATGAAACAGCCATTGCCAACTGCATATAGAAGCAGCTTTCAGCAACATCACACAAATGTGTCATGAACCATGCATCAAGATAGAGAGCATTTATATAAAACACAGTCGGAGCAACAGAAAGCTGCTGCTAGGAAACACAGGACATGGGTTACAGTTGATCAGATATGTTTTAGCAGTAACCATAATATATTGAAGTTTCCTCCCGCTACAGCTAAGTTTTCATAATGTCCACAGTTTGACTGTTCCTATTGTAATGTAGTTTTAAAAGATCCGAATATTAGCTTGTGAGACTTCCTAACTTGTCTAGGACACATTCATAGTGTGTTCAATACAGCATTTAGTTTCAAAATATACAGCATTTAGTGTGTTCAATACAGCATTTAGCTCGAAAATCTGGACAGGTATTAAAGTTGAAGGTGATGAAATTTTATATTGATCTTGATTTATGAAAATTACAATTTAATCCTTAACTTTTAAAAAATTATAATTTGATCCTAAAATATATTTTGAAATTCTTGGCAGTATTCTTAAGAGTTTAAGGATGATGAATCTCAGTTTGATAATTAATTAGTATAATTTTTAGTTTAGTCCCCTTATTTTAGATATTTACAGTTTAGTCATGAAACTTTAAAAATTTATAATTTGGTCCTTGGAACGTAAATTGAGATTCCGGATAATTTTGAGGATGGATAATGGATGAAATTTCAATATGATTATGTATTTCTAATTATGTTTTGATCTTTAATTTCTAAAAATTATTATTTTAGTCCCTAAACCTAGTTTTCTTTTATGCATTGGAGTCTTTTATTTGTGTTGTTTTTTTATGTATTTTGTATATTCATTGTAGGTCCTTCAAATGATCCTCAATAGAATTTTTAGGTCTTTTATCTAATATTCCTTAATTTTACTTCTATATTTTTCAACTGAGTGAGATAATTTTTAATATGTAATATAAATAAATATGTATATTGATTATATGATGAGTGCAACTAGTTAATTTCTTGATTATTTATATATGTTGTTTTATTTTTTGACTACTCATTTATTCTTGAATTTACACTCACATTCTGTTGAACTAAATTCTATTTAATAAGATATACATTACTTTGATAATTATACAAATATCTATTATGTCTTGATATAAGACTTGTAAATAACTCTATGCTATTAAAGAGTAGTTATTATATGTACACATAATAATTTGTATACTTAGCTGGTGAGAGAGACACTTATCTATGACAATTGATCCTCTTACAGTAGTTACATTCAAGTGTACATCTGATCTCTAATATATATTACACTACTTTATAATAATATACTTGCTATGTATATGTATCTAAAATTGTATATTAAATATTATTTTCTCACTGAATTGGTTGATTTCACCTCTCATTTTTAATATTATTTCAGATTCTTAGTTTTTGTTAGCACTTGAATTTTGTTGAATGTTCTTACTTTTTCAGTTTTGGTTAGTATATTTTACTCAATTATTTATTTTTTAATGTTTTTTTTAGCTTTGATTCAATTTCGTAAATGCTCCACTATTACTTTATTTTAATTAAGTTTAAATTTTGATAATATAATGCGTATTACAGATTATTATTTTTGTTTTAATTACTGATTAGAAGTTTTAACTATTATTTGGTTTTATAATATAATAGTTTAGAAGATTTTAAAATGTTGTTTATTTTTAAATAATTTATTTTTTTATATGTTTTTTAAATATGTATGTTATGAGATTCAATAAAGATGAGGTGTTGTTACAAGACCACTCTTGCATTGCTATTTATGAATTCAAAATTCGGGTCACGACAAGGAGGGTCTAGTGTTCATGGGATTGAGAAATGGCTGAAAATGAAGAAGGAGATGTGAGGATAGAAATTTCATGGAAAAAAAAATGAAGATAACACTGGAATTAATATATAGACCAAAATTTTAAGAGGTCGAGGAAGCAGGCATGTAGTACTTGTCAACACTAGAATTAAATGGACTGCCTGTCTGGGCTCTAGAGAATAGGTACTTAGGATGTGGCAATGAATGGACTAGCTGCTCAGTTCTGTGAGTTATTTTTCAACCAAAAGAGATGGAATTTGTAACACAATTTCTCAGCATCTAAAACAATCTCCAGCATCATCTTGGATTTTATAGGAGTTGGGTCATTATTACAAATGGCTAGATTTGTGAACAAGATACAAAGAAAATTTGCACCAATCGAACAAAAGAGTCTTTTAATTGGATACAATCCACGTTACGAGACTTAATATAATTGGAAAGGTTCATTGACTCTATTCCGGAGTCATTGTTGCTGATTTTGGCTGTGCAGATTCATCCAGGGAGACTCAATATTGAGGCAAGAGAACTGCTACATGCCATCGGAGTCCTGTCTATCTTCGCCTCTTTAAGCCAAGAATGACCAGAAGCATTCCAAGATAGTCAGAATAGTAAGTCGCTTCCAAAAGCAACAGCTTGTAATCATTCCATGGAGGAAATCTGAACCAAAAATCAGTTAGGAAGCTTCTTTTTGTCACTGCCTTGTAGTGGCTAAACGTGTCGAATGAGAATTTCCCATGATACTTGCCAAGCCCACTTTCTCCAATCCCTCCAAATGGTAAGCCTTCAGCTGCATACTGCATTTGCATTTAAGAGTCAAGAAATTAAAAAAAGAATGAAACCAGAATAATAGACTGGTACTGGATGAATCGAAGTACCTGAATAACCGCATCGTTGAATACCAAGCTTCCTGATGATGTTTCAGATGAAATTCTTCTCCTGAATTTTTCATTGTTGCTGAAGGCATAAATTGCAAGTGGCTTAGGCTTTGAGTTGATAAAAGCAATACTGTCCTCAACCTTGTCCAGCTGTAGAAGCAAAACTGAATTAATCATTATAAACCATGATTAAATATGAAAATAATTGGAGGTTAATACTCTAGTTTTCTTGATTATTGTGGGATGGAGTTCTTGAAGGATACAAGTATAGAGATAAAAGGAGATGATTGGTATGTAGCTCACTGTGATTACGGGAAGCAAAGGACCAAATATCTCTTCTGTCATTATTGCTGCATCAAGTGGAGGGTCTACCAGGATTGTTGGCTCAACGAACCTGCATGGAGGTTACCACAAACATGTTATCAATACCTAGCAGCAATACTTGTATTGTATGAAGGACTATATGGCCAGATAACTTGTCAGTTATATCAAATCAAGGTCAAGAAAATCAGATAAATTGCGTTTTGTAAAGAACAGTGAGTTATAATTCGTTGGCAAGAACAACTCATTTTGAACAGACCAAGACAATCTACGGCATAATTAAGTCTAATAGTGCATGTTTATAATGGAAAAGAGGGGCGGACAAAACTATATCATAGCATTTTAAATATATAGAAAGTATAAATAGCGCATCATACAGATTTCTTTCATCCATTGACCCTCCATAGACAACGGAATTTCGCACGGCTGAGTCGCTTAGAAGATTCTTCAATCTCAAGAAATGTTGTTCGTTGACTATTCTTGCAACAGTATTTGTCTCTCTTGGGGTTTCACCAAACATTTTCTTGATCAGAACTTTCATTAATTCCACCTGACAACACCATAGACACAAGTTCAAAACTGATCTCTTGTAGAGAAGACGGTACAAGAAAAGCTCAAGTTAGTTCAGAAACCTATATTTCCCTACAAGCTCACCAAGGTGGAAGCAAATCTTTTTTCCACCAAGATATAATCAATTGCTATACATGCTTGACCAGCACAGGCTCCAAATTTTGACACTAAAATTCTGTTCACAGTCACCTTGCAACCAACAGAGATTGTATTTTAGCAGGAGTGTAAGTTCCTACTACATTAAATACTTACCGTGTTCATTATAACATGATGCATTTACATATTTTAGATTAAAAAAACCAACCTGTTTATCCCATGAAGATGATAAAGAATCCACAACAGCAGGGCATTTACCTCCCAATTCTAGAGCAACAGGTGTGAGATGATTCACAGCTGCTGACATAATTATTCGTCCTACTCGTGCACTTCCTGGGATAGATTTATAGGAAAAAGATGGGGAAGAAGCATGAAAATGAAAATCAGAAAGTTAATGAAACATAACCATGTAGGTAATATTAGTCCATTTTAATAGAAACGAAAAGCTGGACATGGGTTTTCTTATGGTATACAAACAAACATGGCATTTTATGCAGACATTCACATTCACTCTACATGAATGCTCATTCATATGCTTATATATAGGTGTTTGTGTTATAACTGTATGTACACCTGTAAAAAAGATCTTGTCCCATTTCTGCTGTAGGAGACGTTCACCCACAGCTTGTCCTCCTTGGATAACCTTGACAGCTGAATTGTCTAGGTAAGTTGGCAAAGCATTTGCTAGAAGAGAAGCACTTGCAGGAGCTAATTCCGAAGGTTTTAAAACCATCGTGTTACCTGCAGCTATTGCTCCTATCAGCGGTTCCAAGGATAGTCCTGCATATTTGTGATAACACATCGATCATTGAGCATAGCAATCTTAGACAATATCCAAGGACATAATAGACCTGTTTTTTTTTTTAATCTTCTTCTCAGTTACGTCAAAAATAGCTTACCAAAAGGTAAATTCCATGATGAAATAATTAGGACAAAACCAAGAGGTTCAGGTACCAATTCTGCAGATGATAACAGGGCAACTCTTGGCAACGTGGCCTGTCGTCAATTATGAAAGAACATTGTATATAGTTAGTAACTTTACCCGCAGAAACATGAATCTATAGGCAAAGACACAGAAGATGGTACTGTTGAATGTTGAGCCTTTGATATTTGACAACGTCAAATATTACTTTTAATGAAGGTCAACTTGTAAACACACCACATGAAATCATTCCTTGAGAGTACCGATAGCAATTTACAAGAGATCATCTGTTGCCGAAAGAGAGCAAAGCTTACCTTCTTGCCTGACATCCATTCTTTTAATCCGTGCAGTGCAAAATTGATGGATTTTGTCGATAACCCCACCTGCAAAAACAATCCACGTCTTTTTGGATTTCCAAATCACAAATTTTATTTTCTTTTTTCCTGAACGAAGAACATCTCTTGTGACAAGAAATATTCCAACATTTGACGTTCGGGGAACCCTTATTGTTAAGAAAACAATCCACGTCTTTTTGGATTTCCATATCACAAATCTTATTTTCCTTTTTCCTGAACCAAAAACATCTTCGATGAGAAGAAATATCCCTACATTTACATTCGTGGAACCCTTATTTTTAAGAAAATGATTCCGTGTATCAAATAACAAATGGTGAACCGCGAGTTCTAGACATGATAAATAATTGGTCAACCATAAGAAAATAATTTAACTGTCATGTAAGAAATTTGTGTATGTATATTTGTAGCATTACTACCTTTAAATCTGGAAAGCCACCTGATAAAATCTAACGAAGCAAAGATCGAATAACAGGAGGGCGGTCTTTAGCATGCATTTAACAATAAAAAGGAAACTTGTATGAAATTTTCAGTTCACTGATGAAAAAAAAATATCGCAGCATATTAAGAAACAACATGCCTCGTCTCTGTATGCCTCAACATGATGCTTCCCTAAATCTTCCTTTAAAGCCTTGAAGATCTCATTCTCTTTTTCCTTAATAAACGAGAGCAATCCTTTCAGCTGGGATTGCCTCCATGCTACATCTTTGGTCTTTCCACTCCTAAAATACTGTCTCATGGCCTCTAAATCACTCTCCAAATCCTTCACACCCTCCATATTGCTCTAATTGACAAGAACACTCTACTTACTCGACCTTCGATGCTGGAATTGTGTGTATATTTAATTGCTTCTTCTTTTGGCTCTATGACGTAAAGCTGCTAGCTTTAACTTGCCATAGGTACAATATGATAGGGGCACATCCATTAATGTTGTCAGACTAACATGGAGATTAGTGGGACCAAGGTTGTAAAAAAAAAAAAATTGATTTCATGTGATTTTACAAGTAACAATATAAAAATATGTTAAATTAAATCAGATTAAAAATTTAAAAATCAGAAAAATCAGTTAAACCCAGTTAAATTCGTGTAAAATCAGTCCGACTTGTTAAAATTACTCAAACCGGACTGATTCCATGTGAAAAATTAAAACAACTGCTGTCATGTAAAATCCCCCTTTCCCTTTCCCAAATCCGCCCGACTCTCCACCCTTCCCCTTTCCCCAAATCGCCAGTCCCTTTCCCCAAATCGCCGATCAGATTGATTGATTGATTTAACGGCATTGATTCTACGTGCAGCTATTTTCGAAAAACATGGTTTTAGAGGAGAATTACCGGTTGAACATGGATAGCAGGCTATTTTTTGTCGATGTTCCGTGGTGATTGATTATTTTCATTGATTGTGGGATGCAGCTGTTGAATTGTTATTGGCTGATTGATCGATAACCATGCCAAGGTTGTTGAGACAGTACATGTTGCTTCAACTTATACTTTAATTTTTTTATAATTTAAATTTATTTTATATTATTCATGTCGCATTGAAAATATATTTTTAACAATTTGAGCGTGACAGCTCGTTTCCATCATGGTGGTGCCACTGTAGGGATACGGGCCCGCCATCAATGGGACAAGTCGTTTCCAATTGTAGTGATACGGGCACGTCCATTAATGCTGTAAGACTAACGTGGAGATCAGTGGAGCAATCCAATTGTAGGACCATCAGAATTGATAGGCACGTTGATCTGTTGCAAACTACAGCAAAACTGTACGTAGTAACTTGAGTCAGGCTGTGACGGTTAACATCTATATGATATATATGTGCACATTTATCGATGCTTGAAATAAATGTATATATGGCATGCAATATACATGCCTGGATAAGTTCTTCTCCTATGTCTGCGTATTTTTTTTTTTTTAATTAATATGAGTATTCAGACTAGTTTGCGCGTACCACGACTAATCTCATGGGCCCTGAAGTTAACGACCATGTAAACCTCCAGTAGCCATCATATGAGCAACTAAGGACTCGAACCTAAGACCACAGAGGGAGCAGACCCCTTGATCCCAAGTCCTTACCACTTGGCCACCACCTAGATGGTTTATGTCTGCGTATATTGATAACACCAGTCATTGGCCCCGCTGCGCAGTTCGTAAATCCAATTTTTTTTAATGTAAAAAAAAAAATAAGAGTGTCAATAATTTTTTAATAATATAATTAAAATATGATATTGGTAATGAACAAAAACATAGTTTAAATTTAAAAAAATACAAGATAATAATTTTTTTAAAAAAATATTAAAACAATAATGAATTAAATAAATTTTGATACCTTGACAACCCGAGTCATAAACTCTATTAGCTTTAATAATATTTTTTATAAATTTTTTTATTTAATTATATAATAAAAATAAATACTTACAAAATTAAGAACCAATCTAAAAATATACACTTATATGATTAAGTGATTACTTCATAGAAATCAAATAAAAATAAATGATACAATCTATTCCACAACCTATTCAATATTTAAAAATGAAATAAAAACAAAACAATTAAAAGACCCAAAACAAAAAAAAAATCTATTGGTTGATAAATTCATCGAACTTGCAAATCAGGTACCTAAAACTACCAAGTCAAACCAGTAAATCGAGTTATGAAATCTACTAAAATTATAAAAAAAAATTCTAAAATGTTTTTAGATCTCTTAAAATTAAATCTAAAAGTTGATATTTGAGTCAATTTTGATATTTTTTTAGATTTTGATTTTATTTTCTAGTGTAAATTGTTTTCCTAGCCAATAAAAAACATGATAAAGTTTTTTAGAAAACAAACTTGATTAAATTAATATTTTACCTTTTAGGATTCTTTGTGTGTTGTCTTGAAATTAAATATAAAAGTTGATATTTGAGTAAGTTTTGATTATTTTTTTTAGATTATGATTTTATTTTCTAGTATAAATTATTTTTCTAACCTATAAAAAAAACATGATCAATTTTTTTAAAAAGAAAACTTAATTAAATTAATATTAAGCTTTGTAAAATTTTTTTGGCATTGTCAAATTATTAGATCTCTTGAAATTAAATCTAAAGCTTGATATTTGAATCAATTTTGATATTGTTTTAGATTCTGATTTTATTTTCTAGTATAAATCGTTTTTCTAAACAATAAAAAAAAAACATGACAAGGTTTTTTAGAAACCAAACTTGATTAAATTAATATTGCAGCTTTTAGAATTCTTTGTACATTGTCAAATTATTAGATCTCCTGAAATTAAATCTAAAAGTTGATATGGAGTCAATTTTCATTAGTTTTTTTAGATTCTGATTTTATTTTCTAGTATAAATTGTTTTTTTAGTCTTCAAAAAAAAACATGATAAAGTTTTTTAGAAAGCAAACTTGATTAAATTGATATTTTTGCTTTTAGAATTCTTTGTGAGTTGTCAAATTATTAGATCTCTGGAAATTAAATGTAAAAGTTAATGTTTGACTCAATTTTGATATTTTTCTTAGATTCTAATTTTATTTCCTAGTATAAATCGTTCTTCTAACCTGTATAAAAAAAACATGATATAGTTTATTAGAAAGAAAAATTGATTAAATTAATATTTTAGATTTTAAAATTCTTTGTGTGTTGCTAAATTATTAGATCTCTTCAAATTAAATGTAAAACTTGATATTTGAGTCAATTTTAATTTTTTTTTAGATTCTAATTTTATTTTTTAGTATAAATATTTTTCCTAACCTATAAAAAAACAAGAGAAAGTTTTTTAAAAAGAAAACTTGATTAAATTAATATTTCAGCTTTTAGAATTCTTCATGTGTTGTCAAAATATTAGATCTCTTGAAATTAAATCTAAAAGTTGATATTTGTGTAACTTTTAATATTTTATTTAGATTTTGATTGTATTTTATAGTATAAATTCTTTTTGTATCCTATAAAAAAACATTATAAAGTTTTTTTATAAAGAAAACTTAATTAAATTTTTAGAATTCTTTGCGTGTTGTCAAATTATTAGATCTCGTGAAGTTAAATCTAAAAATTGATATTTGAACAATTTTGATATTTTTATTAGAGTTTGATTTTATTTTCTAGTATAAATAGCTTTTGTAGCCTATAAAAAAAACTTGATAAAGTTTATTAGAACGAAAACTTGATTAAATTAATATTTAAGCTTTTACAACTTTATGCATGTTGTCAAATTATCAGATCTCTTGAAATTAAATGTAAAAGTTGATATTTGAGCCAATTTTGATATTTTTCTAAGATTCTATGAGTCAATTTATTCTGATTTTATTTTTTAGTATAAATCATTTTTCTAACTAATAAAAAAACATGATAAAATGTTTTAGAAAGCAAACTTAATTAAATTTTTAGAATTCTTTGCGTGTTGTCAAATTATTAGATTTCTTGAAATTAAATCTAAAAGTTGATATTTGAGTCAATTTTGATTTTTTTTTTTAGATTATGATTTTGTTTTCTAGTATAAATTATTTTCCTAACCTATATATAAAAAAAAAACATGATCAATTTTTTTTAAAAACAAACTTAATTAAATTAATATTAAGCTTTTAAAATTCTTTGCGTGTTGTCAAATTATTAGATCTCTTGAAATTAAATCTAAAAATTGATATTTAAGTTAGTTTTGATATATTTTCTTAGATTCTGATTTTATTATCTATTGTAAATCGTTTTCATACCCTATGAAAAAAACATTTTAAAGTTTTTTAGAAAGAAAACTTAATTAAATTAAAATTTCAGCTTTTAGAATTCTTTATGTGTTCTTAAATTATTAGATCTCTTGAAATTAAATCTAAAAGTTGGTATTTGAGTCAATTTCGATATTTCTCTTAGATGTGATTTTAATTTCTAGTATAAATTGTTTTCCTAACCTATAAAAAAAAGCATGATAAAGTTTTTTAAAAAGCAAACTTGATTAAATTAATATTTCAGCTTTTAGAATTCTTTGTGTGTTGTTAAATTATATTTGGTCTATTTTATTTTATTTTTTTAGATTCTGATTTTATTGTCTAGTATCAATCGTTTTCCTAACCTATAAAAAAAAACTGATAAAGCATTTTAGAAAAAACACTTGATTAAATTAATATTTCAACTTTTAGAATTCTCTAGGTGTTGTCAAATTATTAGATCTCTTGAAATTAAATTTAAAATTGATAATTGAGTCAATTTTAATATTTTTGTCAAATTTTGATTTTCTTTTCTAATATAAATCATTTTTGTAGCCTATAAAAAAACATGATAAAGTTTTTAGAAAGCAAACTTGATTAAATTAATATTTCAGCTTTTAGAATTCTTTGTATGTTGTTAAATTAATGGATCATTTGAAATTCAATGTAAAGTTGATGTTTGAGCCAATTTTTTTTTAAATTATGATTTTATTTTCTAGTATAAATGATTTTCCTAACTTATAAAAAAAAACATGATAAAGTTTATTAGAAAGAAAACTTGATTAAATTAACATTTTATCTTGTAGAATTCATTTTGTGTTGTTGAATTAATAGATCTCTTCAAATTAAATCTAAAAGTTGATATTTGAGTTAATCTTGATATTTTATTTTTAGGTTCTGATTTTATTTTCTAGTATAAATCATTTTCCTAGCTTATACGAAAAACATGATAAAGTTTTTTAGAACCAACATTGATTAAATTAATATTTAAGCTTTTAGAATTCTTTATGTGTTGTAAAATTATTAAATCTCTTGGAATTAAATGTAAAAGTTGATATTTGAGCTATTTTTTATATTTTTTAGTTAGATTGTGGTTTTATTTTCTAGTATAAATTATTTTCCTAACTAATAAAAAAAACATGATATTTTTTCTAGAAAGCAAACTTGATTAAGCTTTTAAATTTTTTTGCCTGTTGTCAAATTATTACATGTCTTG